TCGAAGGCGGGCGAAGGGCAGCGAGCGGCGACTGCAGTCCCTAACGGGCTGGTCGGGCGGGCGGGCCCAGACGGGCGGGTCGTCGAAGCGTAAGTTTTGCTTGAACCGCCAGGCAATATGTAGCGGGAGCGCGATTCCTGAGTGTCGAGGAACGGCATCTGAATAAATTGTAAGTAAGTATCAGGCGGGAGCCGCGATTCGGTGGTAAGTTGCGAGGAAGTCCCAAGCGAGAGCGCGATTCTTTAATACATTGTGAGGAAGTATCAGGCGGGAGCCGCGATCCGGTGGTAAATTGTAAGGAAGTCCAAGGGGAGAGCGCGATTCTTCAATAAATTGTGAGGAAATATTAGGCGGGAGCCGTTGCTGTTGTAAACCAGGGGCCAACGACACAGTTCGACTTTCAAGATTTTCCCTCATGAAAAAACAGGGTGCGAGCCCCGGGAAGGGCACTTCAATCGAAAAAAACCAATGTGCACCGGACGGGGGGGATCAACAATTATTATTTTTCAGAAATCAGAGTTCAACAACAACAATCATTCTAAGATTGAGCGCCTTGATCTGCTCGAGTGTCCAATCACGCGTATTTCCCAAACCCTCGATACCCGCCCTCTTCGTCTTCGATCGAAACCTTTTGGGGGATTATACTTTTCTTCCCTGCAGGCCGGGCCCCGGCAAGCGGCGGGGCGGCCGCAGACCGTCGGCCTGGCCAGCGGCAGCGCTGATCGGCGGGGCGGCCGCGGACCGTCGACCCGACCCCAAGAGGGACGGACAGGGGACCGACCACGACGACGACGACGACGACGACGAGGACGACGGCGACGGCGACGGCGACGGCGACGGCGACGACGACGACACGACGACGGCGACGACGAGCGAAAGCGAGAGCGAGAGAGAACGACAGTAGGGCCACGAAGGACACGAAGTAGGCCACGAACGGCGACAGCGGGGACACGAAGGGAATGCGTATGGGGCCACGAAGAGCGCGAACGAACGGGGGCCACGATAATACGGGACCACAGAAGGCAACGATGGGGCCACTGAGGGTAGCAACTGGGCCATGTAGGGCAATCAGATTTTCTTTGTCAAAAAACAGGGTGCGAGCGTCGAGGGGCACACTTTGATTGAGAAAAACAATATGCACTGGTGGGGGATCAACAATAGTCACTCTTCAGAAATGAGAGTTCAACAACAACAACAACAACAACAACAACAACAACAACAACAACAACAACAACAACAACAACAACTTCAACAACAACAACGACGACGACGACGACGACGACGACGACAACAACGACAACGACAACGACAACGACAACGACAACGACAACAACAACAACGACGACGACGACGATAACAACAACAACAACAACAACAACAGCAGACGCAACAGCAACAGCAACAGCAACATCAGCAGCAACAGCAACAACAACAACAACAACCACAGCAGCAACAACAACGACGACAACGACAACGACAACGACAAAAACAACAACAACAACAACAACAACCATTTTAAGGCTGTACGCTCTTACTTGCCCGCGAGTCATTCAACACGTATACCCTACACCCTCGATACCCGCCCTCTTCGTCTTCGATCACACCCTTTTCGGGGGGATTATTTCTCTTTGCTGGGGCCGGCGGGCTTAGACGTACGGGCAAACCGGAACGGGCGGACAATCCTTCGGGGGCGTACATCTCTCTGCCCGCCATTGGAATTGGCGCGGGCCCTGCAAGAGGAGGAGGGGAAGAACGAGGGAGAGTGGGAGGAAGGGGAGGGGGAAGGACGAAGGAAGAGGGAAGATACCACGTTGTGAAGGCGTCCTTGGCGCGTGCGTGGTTCCTGAGCGCCGAAACGCAATTCCAGAATAATTTGTGAGGACGTCGCACGCGAGAGCGCAGTCCTGAGTACATTGTGAGGAAATCTCAGGCGGAAGCGGGGGCCCTGACTAAGTTGCGAGGAAGTCTCAAGCGGGAGCGCCGTTCCTGAGCAAATTGCACGGAAGTCTCAGGCGGGAGCGGGGGTCCTCACTAAATTGCAAGGAAGTCTCAGGCGGGAGCGCCGTTTTTGAGTCAATTGCGCGGAAATGTAAAGCAGGAGCGGGGGTCCTGAGTAAAATTCGAAGAAGTCTCAGGCGGGAGCGCCGTTCCCACGTAAATTGCACGGAAGTCTCAGGCGGGAGCAAGGGTCTTGATTACATTGCGAGGAAGTCTCAGACGGGAGCGCCTTTCCTGAGTAAATTGCGCGGAAGTCTCAGGCGGGAGCGGGGGTCCTGAATAAAAATCGAGGAAGTCTCAGGCGGGAGCCGTTGTTGTTGTAGCCCGGGGGGCAGGGGCACAGTTTGAGCAGGAAGACTTTCCTTGAGAAAAAACAAGGTGCGAGCCCCGGGGGTGGCACTTCAATCGAAAAAAACAATGTGCACCGGTGGGGGGGATCAACAATAATTATTCTTCAAGAATGAGAGTTCAACAACAACAACAACAACAACAACAACAACAACAACAACAACAACAACAACAACAACAGCAGCAGCAGCAACAACAACACCAATAGCACTAATAATAAAAATGCGACGTCGGAGCTCTGGGACTTGGGCGGCCCTCTTCCAGGGAGCCTTCGCTACCCCTCGCCGGGCGCAGCCCGAAGCTGGCTTGTCAGGAGGACGTCCAGAAGGGGTCTGGGAAGTCGGAGGGGCGTCTGGCCGGCGGAAGGAATGCCACGATCTGATGGGATGGGCTCGGGAGGTGCTGAAGGGGATAGAGTGGGGGCGCGCATCAAGAAACCAGATGCTGTTCGTCAGCGTATCCTGGGTTTCTTCGCTCGGCGCGCTGCGCGGTGACTTCACGCAGCCTTTGAAGAAGCTGCTGCGTTCGGGGTGCTCCAGGCTTCCCCTCGGGTGCAACTCGCGCACGGGTTTTCAGGGTTGGGTTTCTTGCGGGGGGGTCTTGCGGCCGCGCCCGCATTGTAGGGGGCTTATCAGTGGATGCCAAGGCGGGTTTATCTGGCCTGGCCTGGCTTTCGAGTGGGTTACGACTGCCTTGGGTGGTTCTTAGGGGCTTAGACAGCTTCGCTAGGTGGGAATAGTCCACTTGGCCCGGATCGCTAACCCCACAGTAGGCCATGTGGGGCATTCGAAACAAATTATAGGCCATGTTTGGCCATACACACATACATGCAGACATACACACACACACACACACACACACACACACACACACACACACACACACACACACACACACATACATACATTGCATACATGCATGCATACATCCATACGTGAATACATACATACATGCATACATGCATACAGTATGCATGCATACGTACATCAATACATATATACATATATACAGGCATACGTACGTACATGCATGTATGCATACATGCATGCATGCATTTATACATACATGCATGCATACATGCATACGTGCATGCAAACAAACAAACATGCATATGTACACGCATACATACATGCATGCATGTGGCATCCGCTGATAACACCCGTATCCCCGTAGCAACCCCGCGCCCATCCTAGTCTGAAGCGCTAGCAAGCACGTCGGGGAGGAACAGAAGGCACGGTGGAGCAAGAGGGGAGGAAGAGAGAAGGATCGGGCGGAGGGGAGAGGCGCAGGAAGAGCGGCATGGAGCAGGAGGGATGAGGAGTTGGAGAGGGATGGGGAGTGCGGCTGGCCCAGACCCCGTCGGGTCATGAAAATATCACGACGGGAGGTTTTTCTCTCTTTTCTGCCTCCGTGGGCCCTTACCAGGCTTCGGGACCGTCAAAAAACGACTCAGGATATGAAAAAATGGTCCCGCAGAAGGGGTCGAGACCTCTGGGGGTCGACGACCTCACAAGAGTCATGACGTCGGGGCTCTGGGTGATGTGGCAGGGACGCGGTGGAGGGCCTGAGAAAGCTTGCGATGGCGGGTGGGCGACGGGGGGCCCAACGCGACAAGCCTTGACATCCTCGCGTCGTGAAATCTTGAAATATTGGCGGCGCACACAGGGGGGTAGGGGGAGGGGGAAGGCTTCTTCGAAGGAGGTTGCTTCTTAGAAGGCGCGGGCCTGGTCTACAGAGAAAGGGCTGGCGCCTTCTAAGAAGCAGCCTCCTTATAAGAACCCTTCCCCCCTCCCCCATCTCCCCCTGTGCGCGCCGCCAGAAACAAGCACGGCGGAAGGTGTTCGGCAACGTTCGGCTTCCAGGGGCCATCGCCAGCCCCAAGGCCGTCAAAACACGATGCGGGTTGAAAACACGGACCCTGGAAAGGGGTCCAGGCCTCTGGCGGGCCATTCCCATCACCAGTTGTCTCGAGCCTCCGGCTTGCTCCCATATCTCCGGGGGGGAGGGGCATTGGCCCCCGATCGTCCATTCGTCACCGAGAGGGGCTTGATAGCCCACCCCACCCAGGATTCTCCCCATGGGGAACCCATTGCCGACCTTTCGGCGATGCCAGCTCGATGTTTCCCCCCCTTGGGCCGGTACCCCCCTCTCGTCCCCCTTCCGCGGAGGGGCCTCGAGGGCACCCCGCCGCGGGGGCCTCCGAAGCTCGAAGGAGAGAGAAACAGGGACAAGTGCAGGAGGAGGAGGAGGAGGACGCCGAGAAGGAGGAGGAGGAGGAGGAAAAAGATGGGGAGGAGGAGAAGGGGGAGGAGGAAAAGGAGGAAAGGAGGAGGAGGAGGAGGGGAGTGAGGAGGAGGAGGGAGGAGGAGGAGGAGAAGGGAGGAGGAGGAGAGGAGGAGGAGGAGGAGGAGGAGAAGGAGGAGGAGGAGGAGGAGGAGGAGAGGAGGAGGAGGAGGAGGAGGAGGAGGAGGAGAGGAAGGAGGAGGGGAGGAGGAGGAGGAGGAAGGAGGAGGACGAGGACGAGGAGGAGGAGGAGGAGGAAGAGGAGGAGGAGGAGGAGGAGGAGGAGGAGGAGGATTGGGAGGAGAAGAGGAGGAGAAGAGGAGGAGGAGGAGGAGGAGGAGGAGCTCTCCGCCCCCCGCGCCCCCGGGCAGGCACGGCCAGCCCCCGCCCGGCTACGGCGGGCACCCGGAGGCGACCGGCCGGCGGCCGCGGAGGCCGGATCTCCAGGCCGGGTCCAGCTGAAAGGGGGTGGTGCAATAGGTTTGGGGCAATTGTATTGCAAATGCATTGCGCCAGAGAATTGTATTGCATCGTATTGCAACTAATGTATTGCGCGCGAAAACCAGCAATACATCTGCGCACCGGAATTGATTGCACGCCCCATATCTTTTGCAACCCCACAAATCTATTGCACCAAATCTATTGCACCACCACCTTGTCGCTGGACCTCCTTTGGGGTCGACCAGACAGATGGGGTCCGAGCAGGTGGCGACGACGACGACGACGCAACTACGACGACGACGCAGCTACAACGACGACGCAGCTACAACGACGACGACGACGACGACGACGACGACGACGACGACGACGACGCAGCTACAACGACGACGCAGCTACGACGACGACGACGACGACGACGACGACGACGACGACAACGACGACGACAACGAGAGCGCGTAATTATGCACCATGCCAGGGCCCAGGATCGCCTAGGCCAGGGAATGCGGTGGCGTGTGCGGATGCCTTCTGCGGAGCCTGGTCTGTTCACGGCGTTGCAAGCCAGGGCGAGCGCTGTTCCCAGACGTCGGGCGTGAAACCCGGGCCCCCGACCTCTCGACCATTTCCTTGGGACTGGTTTTTCACCCCGAGTAGTTTTCTAATGGTCCCGAGGCCCAGGAAGGGCCCCGAGAGGCCAAAAACAATGAAAAAAACGTCTCGATTGTTTCGAGCTGCGGGATGTCTGGGTTACGCCCTGCGGACGCCCTGTGCCTCGGCAGGTGAGGTACGAGGCCGCCGTGGAGGAGCAGCCGCTCCCGCGCTCGCCGCCGCCGCCGCCGCCGCCACGTCTTCGACGTGATGCACCGTCGCGGTTGCTTTAAGTCTGGCATGTCTTTCTACGAGGGAATATTGAAAAATAGTCCACAAATAGTCTGGGAAACGTTGTTTGACTATTTTCTATGTTTTTTACTATTTTTACCTTTTCGTCCAAATTCCGCCTGTAGGAGGACATGCTGGACCTAACGGTGGCTGCCCGCCCAGACATCCAGCGCCTCGAAAAAAATCGAGACGGAGGCTTGTCACAATTCTTAGCCCCTCGGGGCCCTTGCCGGGCCTCGGGACCATCCAAAAAACGACTCGGGATGAATAACCGGTCCTGCTGGGATGGGCGCGGGGATTGTTGAGGGGATAGGGGGGTTATCAGTAGATGCCGAGGTGGGTGATTATCTGGCTTAACCTAGCTCATTAGTGGGTTGCCAATGCCCCAAGTGGCGTGGGGGGATAGCGATCCACGCCCACTTGGCGAAGTTGTCCAATCCCCTTGAGCCACTTGGGCCATGCGTAACCACCTTCTGAGCTGGGTTGGGTCAGGTATGTCCCCTTAGGCGTCCACCCATAAACCCCTTTCTATCCCCTTAGCAACCCCCGCGCCAATCCCAGTGGGGAAGCGGCCGCGAGGTCGGGGGCCTGGGCCTCGAACAAGAAGTCGATGCGCTGGGTGTCTGGGCGGACCTCCTCGCGCCCTCCTATCCCAGGGGCGCCGCGGGAGAGGCGAGGCCCTGGCGAGGAGAACAGTCAACCAAAGACCGACCACAACGCTGTGTAGTTAGTTGTTGGCCCTTGCCTTGTTCTTCGTTTTGTTTTTCGTCGTGCTTCCGTTGGCTGAGTCGACCCGCATAGGAAGGACGGGCAGCCTTCCCAAGGGTACCCTCGCCCGTGCCCCAGGCGAAGCTCTAGGCCTCCAAGGGACCACGCCGCATGGCCAATGCATTGCCGACGCGGCTCGACGTGGAGCCCGATTTTGTCCACGCTGGCGTCGCCGATGCACCGGCTGCGATGTAACGGCGATGTATCGGCGATGCGGCGCGATCCTCCGACCTTATCTACAGTCTACCCGCATAGTAAGGATGGGCGGCCTTCTCAAGCCTACCCTTGTATCCTTGTCCCTTCGGCACATCCTTAGCGACTTTCAATGCCCAGCCTCGTTCGAAAAGCGTCAACCTTGCCCTCCAAGGCCCTTGCATCCTTACCGCCCGTCCTTCTGACACGGGTCGGCTGAAGTCCGTTGCAGAGCGTTCCAGAACGCTCTCTGGGCGTTGCAGAATGCTCTGAGAAGGCGCGGCGCCCGAGACATCCTCCAGAGTCGCCGGATATCAGAGGTTCTCGATTTCTCCTGCCCTGTTGTTATCGTCGTCCTGGCTTCGTCTTAGCCCTCGCCCCCCCAGACATCTGGCTGCTCCAATTTTCGTCGATGCGTGGGCCCCAGAGGTCTGGACCATGTCCCTCGGGCTGGTTTGTCGTCCCAAGTCGTTTCGTTGACGGTCCCGAGGCCCGGCGAGGGCCTCAGGGAGGCCAAAAATGGCCAAAGACCGCAAGCTGGAGCGTCGGATCTCTGGCCTCACGCTGCCTCCAGAACCTCGGCGACGTCGTTTCGTTCACGAGATATGGACGCCAGAGGGTCCAGACTCATGATGTCCCGACCTATTCTGGCCTTGACCACCAGGAAGAATTTCGAGCACCAGGGAAGTGCCGAGGTTGGAGGGTTTTTGCACGTGTCGGGCCCTGGGAGCCGAGTGTCGTTCGACATTTCGCCAGCGTGTCGGACAGGCACTGTTTCGATACCTGTCTGTGTGCTCGAAATTACTTTTGGGATGTGGCCCTGAAGTACGATTGAATCGGGCCTGTCCCTTTACACGAAAAAAAATGTGTTTGTGTTTTTGGCATAAAGAAAGCCTGGGGACGATGTTTTGACTATGTGTGAGCTTTCTCTTAGATGCTTTTTGATTAGACCCGCCCGTGGGAGGACGGGCCCGACCTACAAGTACGATGGGAACAGCAGGAGTCCAGACCGCCTCCCCGGGCGCCGGCGCCTCGTCCCGAGCTCGTTCTTGACCGTCCCAGAAAGAAGGGGCAGGCGGGGGCCCCCAAGGAAACGCCGAAGATGGCCACCGACCGTCCGTCGAGGCTGCTTCGCAGCGGGGGGAGGGGCCCCCCTCCTCGTCTCCCCCGGTTGGAGCGGAGGTCGAAAAGGGCCCTCCCCGCCCCTCCCCCTCCCCCCCTCGGAGGAAAGGGGGGGTCGCTTCGCGGGGGGGGAAGCCGCAGCGAGAGAGTCCCAACGACGAGCCGGTATAGCCGACTCCTGGAACTGAGCGCGAGGAGCCGCCGCTCCGAGCGATGTCCCGACGAAGGTCATGAGAGCCGACCCCACCCCAAGGGAGGTGCGGGAGGGGAAGGCGAGCTGGGTGCGCTCACGTCATACTTGACGTCCTACCCCTCCCTCCCGTACCCTACCATGGCGTAGATCTCCTCTCTATTCGCACAGTCGGATGTCGAGCAGGGCAATGATCCCGAAAGGGTACGCGATACATCGTAGAGCACGGCATAGCAGGGCGTAGAAGAGCACGGCAGAGCGTAGTATGTCATAGCATGGCGTGGCGTCGCGTAGTGAAGAATTGCATCGCAAAACACTGCAACGCAAAGAATGGCATCGCACAGTGGCACAGAACAGAACATGGCATTGCTTGGCGTTGAAGAACATATCGCAGCATGGCGTTGCACTGCGTAGTCAAGCATTGCATATCCTAGCATTGTAACTGAAGGCATGGCATCGCACAGCGGAACACCACATAGCATTGCATGGCATGCCGTGGCATGGCATTGGAAGTAATGAGGCCAGCGCCGCAGCGGGAGCACGATTCGGAACGAGCGGAAGCGCGGAAATGAGGCCAGCGCTGCAGCGGGAACACAATTCGCATTCGGAGCGAGCGGACGCCCGAACATTAGGCCAGCGCTTCAGCGGGAGCAACATTTCGGAGAACCCCACCCCCCCACACACACACACACACACACACACACACACACACACACACACACACACACACACACACACACACACACACACATACACACACACACACACACACACACACACACAACACACACACACACACACGCACACACACACACAATAACTCCCTATAATCCCGTGTGCAAAAAAAGAAGGACCGAAGGGGGGCGAACATCTTCGGGACGTCATCAGGGGAGACAGGAGAGTAGTATTCAGATCGTGCAACTGCAAAGGTTAGGTCGGGCATGCCCCTCTACAGGAGGAATATTCAAGAATCGGAAAAAAGTCTGGGGACGATAGTTCGACTAGTTTGACAATTTGTCCATACGTTCTGGCTATCCAACAGCCGCCTGTAGGAGGACATGCCCGACCTAAGGCAAGGGGGCGAGGAGAAACTATGGTAGGTTCACGCGGCGACGGCGTTCAAGGTTGATCGCCGCACGATAGCCACAGGACCCGACGGGATGCAACCTTGAACGATCGGGGCAGCGATCTGTTCTAGGTTGAACGATCGATGCGGTGTCACGGTGTCGGCAACTGTGCGCGCGTCGACGCCGCACAAACTTACTGTAGGCGCGCTCGCGCCACATCTGACATCCTGCCCATCCCACCCATCACTTCACTGACGTTCTCTCCATGCCGACGGGTGTCACAGCGAACCTGGAACCCCTTTTGAAAGGATCCCATCATGTCATGCGCAAGCAGAAACAGAGAGCCGCTTACATTCGAGGAGGAGGAGGTGGCGGATCAGCTGGAGGATTAGTAGGAGGTAGAGGAGGAGGCGGAGGAGGAATAGGGGGAGGAGGAGGAGGCTTAGAGCTGGATTAGAGCTGGTCAAACCGTTAGCAAAGCCCCGTGGATTTACCACCGCGGGAGCGGAGGAAGAGGGAAAGGAGGAGGAGAAGGAGGAGACGGAAGAGGTAGGAGGAGGAGGAGGAGAAGAAGAAGGAAGAGGTAGGAGGAGGAGAAGGAAGAGGGAGGAGGAGGAGGAGGAGGAGGAGGAAGGAGGAGGACAAGTAGAAACAGGAGCGGGCGCGGGAGGAGGGGGGGGGCGAGAGGACAAAGTGGAAGGCATGGGAGGGTAAAGGAGGAGGAGGACGAGGAGGAGAAGGAGGATGGGGGAGGAGCGGGGAGGAGGGGGGGGGAGAAGGAGGAGGAGGAGGGCGAGGAGGAAAGAGCGGGGAGGCAAAGACGAGACAAGTTCCTCCTCCTCGAACCTCTCCTGCAGCTGGCACTAGTGTTGAGAACAGCCCCAGCTCGGGTGGGTTCTTCGCCTGAGGGCTTTCCACCTTGGAGTACGTGCTCTTCCCCTTGCGCTCTGGCTGGACCAGCCCGTCCAGAGGTGCGTCGTTACCATCTACGCGAAAAGAAGATGAGGAAAGATTCGGATCCACAAAAGTGGCCCGCGCGGCAACGCAAGCGCCATTCTGAATGACGGGAGCAAAGCGTCGATCCTAAAATGAGGCCCACGCTGCAGCGGGAGCACCATGTCGGAAGGATCAAGAACGCTCGGATTGGGAAAGGTACATAAAAAGAAACACATGCTGATAATCCTGCGCGTACAAGAGTCATGTCCCGGAGGGGGGGGGGGGGGGCTCAGCACGTTCTTGGGGAGAGGAGAGATTAGTATTCATACGCGGGGGCGTTCGTTAAGGAGTGTACCCAGGAGACTCAGACAATGGAGGATTCCTGATCTGATGAGGGCGGCCTTGATATCCATGGCCAAGCCCCAGTTGGTGTCCCAACGGCTTTCAGACTCTGGACTCCTTATCCAATCTTAGCTGCCCTGATACGCCCGCTTTGGAAATCGAGTGCAAAACGTCCGTGTTAGCACGTTGCGTGATGGCTCAACGTGTTGACCTACGTGTTGGCGCATGCATCGCACCAAGCGTGGGTTCTCGATGTCCGTGTTGGGCTCCGTGCCAACACGCTACGGGCTGCGTGTTGTGCACCGGGGCGGCTAAGTGGACTCCTCCCAAACATCGGGCGTCCCGGGCCCCCGACCTTTCGACCACACCGATTTATCATCCCGAGTCGCTTTCTGACGGCCCAGAGGCCCAGTAAGGGCCCCGAGAGGCCGAGAACGATGAAAAAAACCACGTCTCGATTTTTTCGAGACGCTGGATGTCTGGGAGAGGTGGGGATGACTTCGCCTCGCTCACAGACCCCCCGGGGCAGCCGGCCGTCATTCTGGAGGCAGCAGGCGCAGAGCCCCGGCGGCTCGCGCACGGGAAGCCCGGCCCACCGTGACGGGGCGGCCAGCCGCCCGGTTCCGCGTCCTCGACAGTAGCACATCGGGGTGGGAGCGTTGGTCCAGGCCTGCTGGATGTGGTCGGAGTAAAATAGGGTCCGAGGATCGCGCCGCATCGCCGATGCATCGACGATACGGCTCGATGTGGGGCCCGTGTTTCCCCACGCCGACGTCGCCGATGCATCGCCGACGCCGCCAGCGCATCGCCGATGCATCGGCGATGCATCGCCGATGTTTCGGCGTCAAAAGACGGCTCGGCAAAAGACTGCTCGGGATGCCAAGCGGGTCCAGGGGAAGGGGTTTGGATCTCTGGGGGTCCACGTTTTGAAACATCACGACGTCGGAGTTCTGGGTCGTGACGAGGCTCGGGCTCTTCGTGTGGCTCAGCCCCGACGTTGTTCGGCGAGGCCCGACGAGCTCGAGCTCCATTATGGCCAACCTTGGCGACGATGGCGAAGAATGCCCTGCAGACGTGTGCAATGTTCGATGATGTTGTCCCTCCGCGGCAGGGGTGCCCTAAGCCAAGGAGAATGCCCCGAGCCCGCCCTCAGCGTACGTCTTGTCTTGGAGGGAGCGCCAGTGGACGACGCGCTACGGTCAGAACGGTGAGATACAGACCACTTGAGGTTCAGGAGGGGCCCTGGTTCTCCAGCCGCTTCCCTGATCTAGGTCGTGGGAGCCTGTGCGTGGCCGGGCCGAGCCGTGGCCCGGAGAGCCCCATTCGTTCCTTATCCATCGTTCCGCACAGTAGCACGACGACTGTAAGAGAAGGGGTGGGCCCCCCTTCAAGGGGGTCTGTTTCCCCCCCTGGCTTTGAAGAGGGCGGGGGTCAACCTCCATTCCATCGCCTGTTTGGCGGCAGACGGGGTGGGACGGGGCGCGGGACGGGGCGCGCTCTGGCGCATGGGAGGGAGTGCCAGGGTTAGGGCGTCAGGGCTAGGGTCAGGGTGCTAGGTCTAAATTGTTAGGGCCCGGGTGTCGGTGTTGGCGCGCTTACGAACTAGGTTAGGGTGTTAGGATTTGGGCGTTAGTGTGTGCGCGTTTCAGTGTCAGCGGTGGGGTTTTGCGCGGATCAATCCCCCCCGCCCTAAGCAATTCCCATAAGTTCGACCTATCCTCGTATCGTGTTTCCACGGTTTTGCATCCTCTGCACCTTCCGAGCACATTTGGGCCGTCTCGGGGCGATCTTGGGGCGTTTTGGGGGATCTTGCGTATATCCCTTCCCGCAAGATCGACTTCCCCAACAACCTGAACGCGTCAGTGCGATCTGATGTATATGTTCCTTGACACTTCTTGCAGAAACGAGGACGGTGAAACGGTGAAGATACGGATGTGGATGTTGTTGCTGCTGGTGACGGCGAGCTCGGGGGCGTTCGGGGGGCGTCTAAGAGCGGTTGGGAACGTGTTGGAGACTTGGGAACGCGCTTTGAAGATCTGCAGATGTCCACCAAATCGTATTTGATACTGGGATCGTGAGTGCTGGATGGGCGCGCAGATGAGCATATGTGCACCGAATATTATGTGTTGCATCGGGTCTCCATCGGGTCTTGAGTGGTGGGTCGCTGCGAAGGTCAGCCAATGTCCACGAAATTGTGTTTGTTGCAGGGGATCGTGAGAGTTGGCTGGTTGTGAAGATCAGCAGATGTGCACCGATTTTTGTTTGTTGCAAAGGATGGTGGGTAGTCGGCCGATGTGACAATCAGCCGAAATCCGACAAATCGTAATTATGACAGGGATCGCGAAGGCTGGATGGGCGCGCGCATGAGCAGATGTGCACCGAATCTGATGTGTTGAATAAGGTGGTGAGTGGTGGGTCGCGGTAAATGTAAGCCGATGTCCACGACATGGTATCTGTTGCAAGGGATCGTGAGGGTTGGACGGTTGCGACGATCAGCAAATGTGCACCGATTGTTTTTTGTTGCAAGGGATGGTGAGTAGCCAGCCGATGCGAAATTCATTCGATGTCCACAATTGCACGTGCGCTGGAGATCGTAAGGGATTTGGGCTGGTGTGGAATCAGCAAATGCGCACCTAATAAAATTTGTACCAAAAAATGAAGCTCAAAATGAGACGATCCTACGGTCTGCCGATGCGCACCGCGTCCTCTTTTTTCCTGTAAGGGATCTCGGGAGTGATCGCGGCCAAGGGTCGGTTTGGAGCTGGCCATGGGCCAGCCGGAAGCGGGTGTCAAAGCTATATCATTATTGGATGATGGAATTCGGGTGCTTAAGGTTGCGGTGTTGGGTTAGGGCGTGATGGTGTTAGGGCATCAAAATGCTAATGTGTTTGGCCGTTGGGGTTGGAGGATTCGGATATGGGTGTCAGGGTATCACGGCACCAAGGTCTTAGTGCGAGGGGGCCAGGGTTAAGTTAATGTGTTATGGTGTCAGGGTTAGGGGGTTACGGGCAAAGGGTTGTGGGCAAGTGACAGTGTTAGGATGCGAACGGTAGGGTGTCATCATTAGGCTGCTCAGAGGTAGGTTTGCGGTGATAGGCTTATGGCGTAAAGGTCAGGGCGCTGGGGCGCAGGAACGGTGAGGGAAATAGAGAATGAGAAATCAACGTAAAGACCTCTGCTTGCCGGCGTGGACACACAATAATGAATTGTCGCACTCTGATGTTGGAAGCTCTATAGCAGAAGATCCGTGGTGAAGACTGCGTAGTGAAAATAATTGTTGTCCGCAACGAGTTGCCAACTACACTGTTCACGCAAGCACCCCACCCACTCATCGACAATTTGGTTTGCAAAATCCGTGTGGCGGCAATTGCGATGACTGTTTGGCGTTGGCTGGAGCATCTCCGCGGCCGTGCTAGCCCGCGCATGCTCGCGCGCGAAGCGGCCAGCTTGTTTAGCGCGACCGACGCGGCCGCTGTGGCGTTGATCGCCGGGTACTCCCCAGCGGGCACTCCAGTGCGAATCGGCGACTTGGGCGGGCGCAGTATCATGGCAACGTTGACAACGGTAGTAGACCCGATGATGGTAGTAGCGGTGCTGGTGACGATGATGACAACGACGACGGCACGGGCACTGATGGTGCCGATGCTGATCACGCCGACGACGATGACGGCGCGCTCGCGTTGGTGATGAAGGTTTTGGAAGGAGTTCGACATACGCGCGCGGCCGACGCGCGAGAGCGGCCCGCATTGTATTATTTGACACGGATCGTGCCCCCCCAGCACGCGCACAAGGGCGTTCGAATGATTTCGACATGCAGCGCGAGAGGCCCGTTTGGCCGATGTGTTTTATGAAAAAGTAAATTATGAGAGAGAGAGGAAGAAAAAAAAGAAGAATAACTAAAAAACGATGGTTTTCTCAACAGTTCGCAGGAGCGTGGGCGCAGGCATTTTGAAAACTGGTGCTGCGCAACCATATGGTTTGAACGCTTTCGGGGCATTCGATGTTTAAATCCTTACGGGTCCTGGTGTGCTTGAAGGATTACCGCATGCGCGCGCGACGACGCGCGCGTGCACTTCGTTCCATGTGTCGCCATGGTTTGCGACAGCACGCTCGCAAGGGCGCTCGACCGATGTCGACATACGCACGAAAGGTACGTTTGGCAGCATGTGATGAAAATGTTGAACACTACGGTTGTTCACTAAAATATGAAAGCGCGAGCGTCGGTTTTTTGAAATTCTGTGTCGGAAAAGTATGCTTCAGATGTTTTCGGGACAGTCATTTCTGAAATCCTTGCGAAACCTGGGGTGTGTGAAGGATGCCAGCATGCGTGGGCGACGACGCGCGAGTGCGCACTTCGTCCAATTTGTAGTAAGGGTTTGCGACAGCGCGCGCTCAAGGGCGTTTGAGCGATTTTGGCATGCGCCCGCCAGGAGCACGCTCGGTAGCATGTGATGAACATGTTAGAAAGCTGATTGTTTCTTAAGAATATGCAAGAGCACGACTGCAGGTTGTGTTGTACATTTTCGTTGCGAAAGCATATGTGTTTTATGTATCCACGCCACTCAATTCCGAAATGAAGACCTAAGCGTTTTTGGAACATCTCGACATGCGCGCGCGACGACGCGCGCGTGTGCACTCCGCCCCATGGTTTGCAAAAGGTGTTTGAAGACTGCTGGTTTTTGATAAACGCGTGCGCGCGAATAGTGCTTTTGCAAGAGGATGAGGAAGGGCAAGACCAGTTTTGTTGGGATCCTAGGAATGTCAAATTAGGATGGTGGACGGTGGGGCAGAATCATTTGCAAATTGCAATACGAGAGGGTACCGTTAACTCCGGGGGGGAGGGCGATTTTTTTGATTTATCTATTTTTGGGGAAACGAGAATTGATGTGGTGGAAACTGTGTGGCAACGCTTCGCGTCAACTGAAATGATGACAGGAAGCTGGGCCCAACTCAACGGGACCGAGTTATTCGTATGTTTGACGCTTTGCGCCTCCCCGATCGATGCGGGAGCGCACGAGGCGGCAACGAGCAGCAACGGGCGGGAACGTGGCAAATCTTCGACACACCAACCCAAGCGGCAACGGGCGGAAATGTGGCGAATCCTCGACGCACTCACACAATCGGCAACGGGCCGGGAATTGGCGAATGGTCGACGCGCCCACTCTAGCGGCAATAGGCGGAAATGCACAGTTCCTTGCAAGACAAGTAAGAGCCCCGAAGTGCAAGCATTGTTTTGCGAACAGCAGAAATTATCTTGGCGAAAGACTCAACCAGATGCAGGTGTGAGTACCGCAAAGCAGGTGGGACGCAGGATGGAAGCTCCCTGTGGGGCCACGAAACGCGCAAGGGGTGTGCCGACATGAGAGGCGGGGACGAGTGCGAACGCAGCCACAAGAGCAGTCGGTGGAGCTCTCTGTTGGGCCACGAGACGTGGGAGGGATGTGCCGATATGGACTGGGAGCCACATGCGAACCCTGCCACTAGAGCCTCCGGTGAAGACCCCTGCTGGGTCACGAACAGTGTGAGAGACATGCCGAAATGGGCGAGGAGATGATGATGATGATGATGATGATGATGATGATGATGATGATGATGATGATGATGATGATGATGATGATGATGATGATGGTGATGGTGATGGTGATGGTGATGGTGATGGTGATGGTGATGGTGATGGTGATGGTGATGGTGATGGTGATGGTGATGATGAAGATGGTAATGGTGATGATGATGTTGATGCTGATGGTGATGCTGATGATGAGGATGATGAGAACGGTGATGATGCTGATGATGATGGTGATGATGATGGTCATCATCATGATCCTGATCATGGTCATGGTGGTGATGAAGATGAGGATGATGAAGGTGATGATGATGATGATGATGATGATGATGATGATGATGGTGATGACGACGACAACGATGATGACGATGACGATGGCGATGGCGATGGTGATGATGTTGATGGTGATAGTGCTCACGCTCGTACTGATGCTGATGCTGATGCTGATGCTGCCGATGATGATGGTGATGGTGATGGTGATGGTCATGATGATCATGACGACGACGACGACGACAGCGACGACGACGATGCCTATGATGATGATGACGATGATGATGATGACGACGACGATACTGGTGATGATGGTGATGGTGACGATGGGTGACGATGACGACGACGACGACGACGATGACGATGATGAGTATGATGATGATGAGGATGATGACGATGATGACGATGATGAAGATGATGAGGATAAGGAGGACGCGCAGGATGAGGAGGATTAGAAGGATTAGGAGGATGATGATGAAGATGATGAGGATGAGGTTGAGGAGAATCATGAGGATCATGAGGATGATGTGGGATGATGGGGATGATGGGGATGGTCATGGTGCTGGTTATGGTGATGATGGTGATGATGTTGTTGATGATGATGGTACTGGTGACCACAATCATGATGGTGGTGATGGGCATGATGATGGTGGTGATGCTTTATGATCAGGATCATGTGACGATCATGACGATGACGACGACGACGACGACGACGACGACGAGGACACGCGGGGCGCTGTCCCTCCAAAAGGAGGGCTGGGACAAAGCAAAATCCTGGCCTCCTGAAGCGCCCGCTACAGGAGCCGCGCGCCTCGTTCTCCGCCGTGCCCCCGCCGGCCAGCCTCGACGCCAGCTTCGGCAAGGCGGGGCTCCTGGGAGAGCGAGCGCCGCGCCAGGGGGGGCGGGCGGGGGAAGCCCTCGCCTCCTCGAGTCGCGAAGTTTTCGGGCGCCCTCGTTGGTTCCCGGCGGTCTTCCTGCCTGGCCGCGCCTCGCCGAGGGCGTCCGCGAACGGCCGCTGGGGATCCGAGTCATGGCCCGAAAAAGTTGACCTTCGGCCTCCAGGGGCCTTCGCTGGGCCACAGGGAAGGAATTCGGACGGGGCTAGGATGAGGGTAAATCCGTTCCACAGCGTTCCAGAACGCTCTCAGAACGCTCTCAGAGCGTTCCGGAACGCTCTGAGAAGGCAGCGGCGCCCGAGACATCTTCTAGAATTCTAGAGCCGCCAGATCTCAGAGAGTCTCGATTTATCCTCATCCGATTGTATCCTCATCCTGGCTTCGTCTTAGGAATCCAGATATCTGGAGGTCCACGTTGCGAAATCGGAGCCAGTGGAAGGACAGGGCCAGGCTCGGCGGAGAGCGGAAAGGGAGAAGGGGAGGGAGAGAGGGTGCACAGAAAGGCCTCGCTCAGGGGATAGGCGGAGGCAGGGAGCGGGACGCTGCGTTGCCCATGGGCCCTGGCGGAGCCCTTCCAGGTGCGTCTCGTTCGGGAGCCAGGGATATGTTGCCAACGCGTGTGGCTGGAGCCTCGCCTTGAGTGCAAGCTCGATGCCCAACGTGGCTACGATGCTAAGCACGCCTGCCTGTTGCGCACAACAGGGTTTCCAGGAGTTGTCGCTGCCTCCTGCCTGCTGCGCGCGACCGGATGACGTGGGATGCGGGCCTCGGCGCTTCCCTCGGCACTTGCTCTGGCCGCGCTGCCCGGCCACGAGAAGAGAAATACAACAGTTCGCGATAGTGTAGCAGGTAAGCACGTGTCGGTGTTACCGTTCGAGCAGGCATTCCACCCTGGCGATGGCTGCCCTACAGAGAGAGAGAGAGAGAGCAACCTGGGTATGCAGAAGGCTTGTATTGCGAGCACGCGCTGTAAAGATATTGTTTAAAGTTGCTCCCCACTGCATGCCCACTTCATTGATACAAGTGCACGTGGGTGCAGGAGGTTGGGCAAAGCAAGTTGCCTGCACGCTACGTTTCTTCCTTGTTGTGACCATGCATGTTGCAATATGGCGGCGCTCGTGAAGGTCCCACTTGCCCGCGGAGGAGAGAATACATGGAGAATACATATACATACGGCCCTGACGTTACCCATTCGGTTGCGGAGAAAGTTTACCTGCGCGTCCCGTTCAAAGATCAGGGACACAGACAAAGTGTAAAGAATTGCGGCTCTAGTTCTGTACCAGCAAAAGCATATCCACCACAAGTGCGGGAATCACCCCGCGCTCCCCAGTCTTAACATGGTGTTCCTTCATTGTCTATTTGTTGACGGCCAGAAGGCACTTGTGAAAGCGCTTGTCTTGTCAATGTGTATTCGAAATTGATTCGATGGTGTTTGCATCGGGTAATTATTCCCAAGGGCGTGCGTGGTGGGAAGGTGCAGACAATGCAGCAGGACATTCGCCTTCCCATTCATGGCGTTGAGACGCTCTCGTTGCCAGAAAGTCCGCCACTATAAATTGGAGATGGAAGGGGGGTTAGAGCAGCAGAGCAGGAGGACGCCATTAGCAGCAGCAGAGGGGTGTGAGGATACACATTCGGGTTCCTGGCATAACGGGCACTTCCACACTACCACGTAAAGATTGCGTTCAGCCTTCCTCTGGCATGTGGCCAGACATGTAGGAATCATCGCTTGGACAACGCTTCCCTTCGTGAGTACACATATGCCGTGACGAGGATTGGCGTACCAAGTCGAATGTGGATTTTGTGCTGATCTGGTAATACGAATGCTTGCACAGTTTCGAAAATCGCCGTTCGGGTCTTGCCCCGCACAGATTGTGTTTGCACTTGCTGCCACAGCACGACTTCAAATCTTCACGATTCGCGTATCCCCATCAGCCCGTTCAGAAAGCTTGCCCGTGAGAGTCGATGGGAAAAAGAACGAAGGGACATACGTGCATATACATATATATATATATATATATATGAACAAATGTATACACCTATATACATGTGTGTAGTGAAACAGTGCGGGCAACCAGGATGAACCGAGAGATCTCTGGGAGCAAGGGAGTGGCATTTGAGGGCTTTTTCGGGCCATCTTTGGGGCCCGCGGGGGGCGCGAGGGGGCGCGAGGGGAGGAGGAGGAGGAGGAGGAGGAGGAGGAGGAGGAGGAGGAGGAGGAGGAGGAGGAGGAGGAGGAGGACGGGGAGGAGGACGAGGAGGAGGAGGAGGAGAAGCAGGAGACGGTGGAGGAAGGGAGGACGAGGGGGAGTAGGAGGAGGCGGAGGAGGCAAACCGCCTCGTGAGGCCCTCGTGGGGCGCTCTTGTGGTGCCCTTGGGCGCTAGTGGGACCATCGTGGGGCCCTTTTGAGGCCAGCTTGGAGGCCATCGATCAAAGGAGGGGGGGCCCACATTTCCGTCCCCCCCCCCTCCCCCCTTGGGGCCATCTAAATCGTTTCTGGGTGCGCTAGTGGGCCGCTGTTGGGCGCTCTTGGGGCCGTCTGGGGCGCCTCTTGGGCCCCTCTTGGGGCTCTCTTGGGCCACACTGGGGCCATCTTAAGGCTTCGAAACCGCATCGGAAGCGAAGAGGCGAGAAGGAACAAATGATTCCCAACCCTCCTGCGTTGGGCACTCGTTTTGAAGAGAGCATTGCGTACTCCGCCTCCTCCCGCCTCCTTCCTCCTCTCATATTTCCGCACCTGCCTCGTACCTCGCTCCCTCCTGCGTGCCAGCTTGCCTCCTGCCTGGTCATCCCTGTGGGGCTGCGATCTGCGAAACTGTCGCCACGTTCGAGGGCTCTTGGGGGGTCCAGCGGTGTGACGTGCTACGCAGACTCAAATTAGACCTCGCCATCCCTGTGGGGCTGCGATCTGCGAAACTGCCGCCACTTCCGGGGGCTGTTGAGGGGCCCAGCGGTGTGACATGCTACGCAGATTCAGACTATACCTCGCCATCCTTGTGGGGCTGCGATCTGCGAAACTGCAGCCTCGTTCGAGGGCTTCTGGGAGGGTCCAGCGGAGTGACGCGCTACGCAGATTCAGATTAGACCTCGCGATCCCTGTGGGTCTGCGATCTGCGAAACTGTCGCCACGTTTGAGGGCTGCTGGGGGGCCCAGCGGAGTGACGTGCTACGCTGACCCAGATTAGACCTCGCCATCCCTGTGGGGCTGCGATCTGCGAAACTGCCGCCAAGTTCGAGGGCGCCTGGGGGTGGGGTCCACGGCATGACGCGCTACGCAGATTCAGACTAGACCTCGCCATCATTGTGGGGCTGCGATCTGCGAAATTGCAGCCACTTTCGAGGGCTGATGGGGCGTCCAGCGGTGTGACGTGCTACGCAGACTCAGACTAGACCTCGCGATCCCTGTGGGGCTGCGATCTGCGAAACTGTCGCCACGTTGGAGGGTTGCTGAGGGTCCAGTGGAGCGACGTGCTACGCAGACTCAGACTAGATGTGGCCGTCTCTGCGGGGCTGCGATCTGCGAAACTGCCGTTAATGTCGAAGGCTTCTGACGGGAATCAAGCGAAGTGGCGTGCTACGCACATTCATAGTAACTTTCGCCATCCTTGTGGGGCTGCGATCTGCGAAACCGTCGCCACTTTCGAGGGCTGCTGGGGGGTCCAGCGGAGTGCTGTCGCGCGCAGCCCGCAGACTTGGCGGCGCGCTTTCGAGCGTTTAGCTCCCGCATGGAAAAATGCAGGAAAGAAGCAGGGAAGCTGGAGGGCGAGCTAGGCATCGCCCGCTTCTTGTCCAAACTATCAGCAAGTGAAATCATGTGGTCGAGCGCCGCGGCGACATGGCGCAGGCAGCGCTGCACCTTTAGCGTACCACCGACAAAAGCAGCATTATTCGGTCTCCTCCCATCGCGTTCGTAGTCGTCCTCTGCCCCCCGCCACCGTCCCTCTGCTGCTGACGCGCTGACGGGTCGGCCCCGCACGCGTCCTTCTCTTGCCCTTCGTCCCCGCCCCCGTGTCCTCCGCAATCCTGGACTTTCGCTCCTCGCCCTCCTGCTGTTGTCCTGTGAATTGTACCACGCGAGGGCATCCCACGCAGCCTGCACAACGATTAGCGGCGCCTGCACTGTCATTGTCCTGACAAGTTTGGGCCAACTCCTCTTGTCACTTGGTGCAAATGGGTTGGGTACGTCACACGGATAACTGGCTTTCCTCCGGCGGTTGAAGGGTGTTGGCTTCTTTGGGGGGGGGGGCGAGGGGGCTCCAAGAGCATGTGACACCGTCTTGTGGCCCCCGTCGGGCTTCTTGGAGATATGCCAGAAGCTATAGTGATCCATTTTCGGTTATCTGTTTCCGCCTTTGAGGCCATCGTGGAGTATCCGAGGCCCCCTTGAAGCCACCTTGGGCGAAAAAAGACCTGACACATCGCGGCACCCCCCAGGAAACCTCAGGAAGGGAAGGAGGAGGGTACCCCTCCACGAAGGAAATAAGGCTTCGGAAGAGGACACACAGACGCTACACTGGCACCTCTTGCACAGCGGATGGATGTAGGTTTGAATGACGGTCCACGGGAACCATCGCGCAGCGGTGACCCGTTGCGACGCCAGGGGCGCGGCAAGGGCAAGGGCAAGTGGGACGACGGCAACGTTATCTCCGACGGTATTCACATCACCAATTTGCCAGCAGAGTTGAACAGCTTGGACCCTTCTGCCTGCCTCTCTGGCCGCCCCCTCGGTTTGGAGCCGCGTGCTGGCCCCCCGGCGGTTGCACCTCTATTCCCCTATTCCCTCTGGATCTTCGTCGCGTTCGTTCTCCGCCCCTCCGCCGCCCAGCTTCGGGCGATTTCCGCCCGCCCAGCCAGTTTGGACACCATTCCCCTGCAGAATCCCTCTCCGTGCGCCACCACTCCTCCTCTGAGAGAATCCTTTCCTGGTCGTGGCGCCCGCTCGCCTGCGGAGATTTCCAGCAGCAGTCGCAGTCTGTGCTCGCTCCCCCTGCAGTACCGCCGGGTCGAGGTGTATAAGATCGAGGTCGGCTCGGGGAGGGTTCCCTGAGTGCTCTTCGTGGCTGTTGGATGTTATTGTGCGCCTTATGGGGAGAGCACCCTCGGACGTTCTGTGTGTGTGTGTTGGCCAGCGGAGGGTCTCGCGTTCTTGAAGGATGTTCTTCTGGCCCAGGTCCGCGCCATTCAGGCCGCTCTGCCGGCGTTGTGTCGCCGATTCAGGCTGGACGTTTCCCCCCCTGAGTTGGTCCCCCTTGAGGCTCTCCCTCAGGGAAGAGGGCCAGGACTGGTTATGGCGCAGACTCTTGCCAGGAGGAGTATTGAAGATAATTTGTCTCAGGCGCGCGTGAGCAAGCCGGATTTGGACCAGACCCCGTTGTTTGGCGAATCTACGCGGCGTTGACAAGCAACAGAAGAAAGCAAGCGGAATTCTAGCATAATATAGCGGGTATCTACTGAAGTGTCGTGACGTTACGAGAGTGCGCGCGCACATTTTTGGATTATCGAAGGCGGTCGCAATTTCGCGGACGACCATGTAAGCGGAGATGTTTCGCGGGCAGACTGGCGGGGTGGCGGCATGCAGGTAATCGTGCGCAGGGGCAGGCGAGAGACCGCACTAAGCGGCGACAAGTTCTTTGCGTGCACACGCGCCGCGCATTCTGCTCTTAGGCCACCTCGCGCTAACATTGCACATATCTTACACGGAACGATCTTATTTGGCGCCGAGCACGCAATCAATTTGGGTTCAGCCTTGTAGGCGTAGGTGCAGCATCCTACCCAGACGCCGCGTGGAGCGTTTTCTTTGTGCATAATCGTTGCGCCTGCTCAGAAGCACAGTTCAAGATGTCCGTACGTTGACATTTTGGCTCAAGCAATTTTGATAGAGCTCGCGAAGTTGGCATTTTCCTGTTCGCTGACAGGTCAGACACAATTTCAGGCGCAATGGTGCAACCTTGCGATCCGTCGTCCGCCTTCTTCGGTTTCATGGGGGTGACCTCCGCGATCGTCTTTGCGAACTTCGGGGCGGCATACGGCACTGCGAAGTCGGGCGTGGGCATCTCTTCCATGGGCATCATGCGGCCCGACTTGGTGGTGCGTTCGATCATTCCAGTGGTCATGGCTGGCGTCTTGGGCATTTACGGCCTCATCACCGCCATCATCATCAATGGCAAGATGGCACCTGCAGCCGGGTACTCCGCCTACCTCGGGTACGCGCACCTCGCGGCGGGGCTCACGGTCGGCATGAGCTCCCTCGCAGCGGGCCTGGCCATCGGCATCGTGGGCGACGCCGGGGTGCGCGCCAACGCCCAGCAGCAGCGCTTGTTCGTTGGCATGATCCTCATCCTCATCTTCGCCGAGGCCCTCGGCCTGTACGGCCTGATCGTGGGACTGGTGGTGGCGAACGCGAGCATCGACCCCAGCAAGCCGTTGTGCACACCGTACAACCAGTGAGCGGAGCGGTGGTCTGCGTTCCAATGGCTGCGAGCAGCGCAGGAGGCTGCGCGGTTGCGCGGTCTTGGTCGGCGAGTGTTGTCTCCCGCGCCACGGAGGGCCGAGGCCGTCTTGGGTTGCGGCGGACATGCGCTGAGGGCAGGACGCCTCGTGTACCCCCCCTCTCTCCTCCCTCATCTGGTCTGCATGGCGTCTTCAACGTAGTGCACACCCACACCCCCGCCAACGATGCCCTCTGGCGTCTCTTCGCGGATTTCCGAGTTCCGAGTTCTTCCCTCATCTTCCCTTCCCCCCATGCTCATCCTCCGTCTCTCCCCAAAAATTTGGAGCCGGCTGGAGGTCCGAGGTGGCCCAGCATTGGTTCCGGCCAGCAGGAAGGGGGAGCAGGTGCGAGGTGCTGGGTTCGGTGAGGCTTGGTTTCCCTTTTCGGTCTCTGGGGGCCCCTTTTTTTTCGGGCCCTTGGATTGTCCAAAACGAATCGGGGGTGAACAATTGCACCAGATAGACCCTTGGAGGGGTCTGGGCACTAATTTTGAGCGGGTTTGCCTTCAATCTCCTCAGAAACGAATCGGGGGTGAAAAATTACACCGGATAGACCCTTGGAGGGGTCTGGGGGCGATTTTGAGCGGGCTTGCCTTCAATCTCCCCCCTCTTCACAGATTCTCTCGGGGCCCAGCCAGCTCAGACTGCCCTCCGGCCGCCTCCAACCGATACCCTGTGTTGTGCTGGCAGTCCTTCGCCATGCGCGCGGGCCCCGAGAGGGCAAGGCGTGGTGCAAGCCTCGCCGCGAGGAAGAGCAGAGCGTGGGAGACCAATCGAAGGAGGAAAAACGCCACAGACGTAAACCTCTGGCGCTCCGCGCGGATTTCTCGCATCCGCCCTGGGCCCCCCCTCCGCGCCCCAGGGAGGGGGGGTCCAGCGCAGATCCAAGAAATCCGCGCGGAGCGCCAGAGGTTTACGTTTGTGGCGCTGTTTCTTCCTCTGACCAACGACGGCGCGGGGAGTTGGGCCCCGTTGCAGACATGAAGCGGCTTATCCTCCCATCCCGACCTCCTATCCTCCCGACCTCCTCTTGGGTAGATCCACGGGCTGACGCCCGTCCGAATTGCTTGTTCCTGAGGAGCCGCGGAGCCGAGTGCAGATACAGAGCGGTGTCTGGTCCCATTTGCTGGGGCCTGGAAAAAATCAGCACTGCACGAGATGCGCATGCATTCGAGTCGTAGTTGTGGCGAGCCAGTCAGTGATTCATGCCCTTCTGCAAGTTGGACTTTCAGCGGCGCCCACGTCAGGTACACCGAGGGCCTGCATGCTCGAACGTTTTCCCGCAACAGCTTCTGCACTGAGGGACTACCATGCATGCTCTAAGTGGTTGGTTGCCGTTTCTGGGTGTCCGCCTCGCGGGCGCCCCGTGCGGTGGCTGGCCCCGTGGGCGCCTCGTGGGCGCTCGCGCGCCAGCTGCACTGCGCAGGTTGCACGCACGGGGCGTTCCAGGAAGGGCCCCTGCCTTCGAGGACAGGCGGAGTTGTCATCGCTGCCGCGGCGGAAGGGCGGCGGACGGCGGCGGAAGTAAAAGATGCGCCCCCGAGAGATGGAAACGGTGCTGGTTTCAGCGTTGCCGAAATCGCACGCACACACAGTTTCCACCACAACGTGCACCACAGGCATTGCACCACAGCTTGCGCCACGCAGCTTGCACCACATGACTTGCACAACACGGCACTCACCACATATTTGACACCAAATAGTTTCCGCAACATAGCTAGCACCACGTATATTGCACTGCACACCTTCCATCGCGTGTCCTGCAAATCCATACTGTACAAACCCACTGTTAGGTGCCCATGCTGGCAAAAGAACAAAAGACAAGATGTTCGTGGTGCCGTGATAGGAGCTGGCGCAAATACACGTGCGGGAAACACGCTGGTTGAAGTTGAGGTGAGTTTGCAGCTGAACAAGTTCAGCAGCAGACAAAAGCTCGCGTTGCAAAATCGAACACGCGTCTGCACGTGGTGGTGTGAATGTACAGTTGTGTACGAGATGCTCTGTGCAACGACCATCAAACATGAGTGAAAGTGGGTGGGAGCACATGTGATTGTGATATGATGCGTCTGTTCACGTGCGCTTTTGTTCGCGCTGCTCCACCGCTCCTCCATTCGCTGAAGACCTGCTTGGCTGCATGTCTGTGGAACTTCGTCCATGCGCATGCCTGTGCATCATCTGTCTTACTCGGCCTCGGCGACCAGGACGCACTGCACCGGCACTTCCGGCGCTTCGGCGAGGCTCGAACCCCTAGTGGAACAAACAATGACATAAACAAAAAAGTCGGAGGTCCGCGCGGATTCCTCGGATCGGCGCTGGGACCCCCCAGCGGCGCCTTCAGCGCCGCCTTTGGCGCCGCCTTTGGCGCGCTCCGCGCGCCAGGGAGGGGGGTCCAGCGCAGATCCGAGAAATCCGCGCAGATCTCAGATTTTTTATGTTTGTGTCATTGCACGTTCCCCTAACCCTGCAGTCCCCGCCCCGCCTCGCGATTCGTGCCACTCCTCGCCGAGGTTGCTGCAGCGTGTGCGTGCAGGCGGAAAGTCCCGCTGACTCGGACCACTTTCGGGAGGCCGTGGTCGACGCTTCTAGGGAGGCGCGCGCCAGCTTCGGCGCCAGATCCAGGGCCCCTTGGATGAGCACCAAGCCCTCGTGTTCTCCGTAGGCGCACCAACGGCGAGGTAGGCAACGGCAACGTAGTCTTCGGTGTTGTTTGGCGGCGCGCAGAGGGGGGTAGGGAGTGGGGGGAAGGCTTCTTAGAAGTGCCCCTGCTTCTTAGAAGGCGCGGACCTTGTCTGTAGATATAAGGCCAGCGCCTTCCAAGAGGCAGCCTCTTTCTAAGAAGCCTTCCCCCCTCCCTCTACCCCCCTTGTGCGCCCGCCAAGTTGTAGGTGGGGCTGGTTCGTGGCCAAGCTGGTTGCAGGAAAGCGCGCTTCGAGCTGTCACGCAGCTCGCCGTGCCGCTCTCCTTCCCCACGCTCGGGCACCTGTGGAATGCAGGAAGAAAAGTCTGGCTCGTGGCTCCCTGCAGTATGTGTTCTTCCCGGGCTCGCCGCCGCAAGCGAGAATCAGATCCCCAACGCCACCGTTCACCAACGCCGCTACTGGCGCGGCCTCGGGTGTTCCCAGCCCTGGCTTCTGCGAGCAGCGCGACGTCGACGTCGAGATCTCCTGCCCGCGCTCACGCGGTTCCCCTCTCCGGGCTTCGCCACTGTCCCTTCCGCGGCTCCGCTCCGCGTTCCAGCTCCCTGCCGCGCCGAAGGGACAGGACTTCCTGACATCTTGGATGGGCCCCTCCCTCGTTAGAAGAAGAAGCACTGCACAAGCATCAAAGTTTCGGAGCTCCGCGCGGGTTTCTTGGATCCGCGCTGGCCCCACCTCTATGGCGCGCGGAGCGCGCCAGGTGCAGCGCCGGAGGCGCCGCGGGGGGGAGCCCAGTGCCCATCCCCACGAGATCCGCGCGGAGCTCCAGAAGTTCATGTGTATGGCGTTATTCCCTGCTTCGATCCCTATCGTTTACCTCGTTGCCCCCCCATCACTCCCTCCCTCCCTCTTCCTCTCCATCCCCATCCTCCCTTCCCCTCCCTCCCTCCCTCTTCCCCTCCATCCCCATCCTCTCTTCCCATCCCCTCTACCCTCAGTTCGTCCCCCCGTGTGCGTCCCCCCCCCCCCCCCCCTCACTGCCTGTCTGCTGTCGGCCCCTCGTGCTTCGCCTGTCTCCCGCGCCGTCCGCGGGACCTCTTGGGGCCTCGGCAGGAGCTCTGCGAGGGGGGGGGGCGGAGGGGGGGGATCCCTCCCTATCCTCCCGCTCTCCTCTCCCTTCCCCCTCCTCCCCTCCTCCCCCTCCTCCCCTCCTACCCCTCCTCCCCTCTTCCCATCCTCCCCGCCCGCGCCTCTGCTCCTCCGCGGCCACATCTCCCGCCCGCCTCTCCCACCCCGCGACTTCCCCCCCCCTGGACGCCCCGCCCTGGCCGCATCTGGAACAGCACGGTCCTCTCCGCCGCGCACCGAGGCCGACGAGACGAGGTCCTCCAGGCAGCCTCTGGCGAGAGCTCTCGTGACCACGCGGCGGTGGCTCGCGGAGCTTCTTAGACCTACACGCGTCGTTGTCGCCAGTGTTCTTGTCTTGGGATGTTGCTGTCTCTCAAGGCATCGGTCGGCGCGTGTGGCTGCCAGCGTTCGGCAGCCACGCTGCCCATTCCTCCTCATCTTCCTCCTCCTCCTCCTCCTCCTCCTCCTCCTCCTCCTCCTCCTCCTCCTCCCCTCCTCCTCCTCCTCCTCCTCCGCCTCCTCCGCCTCCTCCCTCCTCCTCCTCCTCCTCCTACTCATCCGCCTCCTCCTCTCTCTCATTCCTCCTCCAATTCCTCCTCCAATTCCTCCTCCTCCTCCTCCTCCTCCTCCTCCTCCTTCTCCTCCTCCTTCTCTTCCTTCTCTCCTCCTCCTCCTCATCATCATCAGCAGCCATCAGCAATCATCATCATCGTCGTCGTTTTCGTCTTCGTCTTCATCCGCCTCCTCCTCCTACTCCTCCTCCTACTCCTCCTCCTCCTCCTCCGGCCGCCACCGCCTCCTCCGCCTCCTCCGCCTCCTCCACCTCCTCCTCTTCCTCCTCCTCCTCATCATCATCATCATCCTCAGCATCATCATCAGCAGCATCCTCCTCTTCTTCCTCATCGTCCTCCTCCTCCTCCTCGTCCCCCTCCTCCTCCTATTTCATATGTATCATCCTCCTTCTCCTCCTCCTCCTCCTCCTCCTCCTCCTCCTCCTCCCTCCTCCCCCTCCTCCTCCTATGCCACATCATCTTCTATTCTCCTCCTCCTCTCCTCCTCCTCCTCCTCCTCCTCCTCCTCCTCCTCCTCCTCCTCCTCCTCCTCCTCCCCTCCTCCCCCCTCCTCCTCCTCCTCCTCCTCCTCCCTCCTCCTCCTCCTCTTCATCCCCATCCTCATCCTCATCCTCATCCTTCTTCTCCTCCTACACCTCCGTCTCCAACTCCTCCTCCTCCTCCTCCTCCTTCTCCTTTTCCTCCCCCTCCTCCTCCTGGCATGGCCCTGGGCGCGGCCTTGGCGTTCGAAGGGAGGTCACAGCCCTCGACCCCAGCAGCCTTGTTGCCACCTGCCCTGGCCGAGGAGGTCGGGGACGCCTTCGCCGCGCTTGGGCACGACGTGTCCAAGGGCAACAATGTTTACTGTGGCAGACGCTGCGGGTCTCACTGTGCTGCGGGAGATGTCCGTACAGTGCGGAGGCTTGGCTTGAGGTGCGATGGGCTCTCGCCCAACGAGTCCACGCGCCGCAACCAGCCAGATGCGATCAGGCGCGTCGAACAGGGCCTGGCGCCTCGTACCCGAGCGCCGCTCCCGCAGGGTGGCTCCTCTTACACCACGCAGCGCGATGATCGACCATGCGTGATTCGCGGCCTTTCCGTGTTCGGTTGGTGGCACGGCGTCTTCTTCGGTGGCGACGCCATCTTCGTCGGCGGCAAGTTGGCTTGCGTCCACGGCCTTGAGGGCGACTTCTCTCAGCTGCTCTCCTTCTACATTGCCTCCTGCTCTTACGGCACCGCGCCGTGAGTAGGCGGCGCCAGCGGTTAGTCCGTCGCGCGCCCGCGTGCGCGACGGGAGACCTTCCTGAGGCGTTGCGCTCCTCCTCGTCCTTCTCCGCCTCCCCCCCCCCCTCCCCTCTCCTCCTCCTCCTCCTCCTCCTCCTCCTCCTCTCTCCTCCTCCTCCTCCTCCTCCTCCTCCTCCTCCTCCCTCCTCCCCTCCTCCTCCTCCTCCCCCTCCTCCTCCCTCTCCTCCTCCTCCTCCTCCTCCTCCCTCCTCTCCTCCTCCTCCTCCTCCTCCTCCTCTCCCTCCTCCTTCCCCCCCTCCTCCTCCTCCTCCTTTTCCTCCTCCTCCTCCTCCTCCTCCTCCTCCTCCTCCTGCCACCCTCCTCCTCCTCCTCCTCCTCCTCCTCCTCCTCCTCCTCCTCCTCCTCCTCCTCCTCCTCCTCCTCCTCCTCCTCCTCCTCCTCCCCTGGGCCCCGACATTTTAGAGCGAGGGAGGGAAGCATGAACCTGACCACGTCTTTTCTTGTTTGGGAGCGCGTGCGCATCCAGGGGACTAGTTTCCCTTGCCGTCTTCGGAGCCCTCAGGAACGTTTAAGGCCAGAGAAGGCCTCTCCCAGGATTTCACCCACTTTAACTTTAGTAATAGGATCTGCACCGACGGAAGTGCTTCCAGACATGTGGTTCGTGGGCGTGGCAGGGCTGGCTGGTGCTTCGCCGACGTTGACGATCTAGGTGAATTCCAGGCCATGATGCATGGCCCTGTTCCTCCCTGGCACCCCCGGACAGCCCCACCTGGAGAGTTTGCCGTTTTCTGCCGGGCTGTTCTTTTTGCGAGCGAAGCCTCGGATTTTTTTACACCGACGCCCAGCTGGTGAAATATCATTCTGCTTTGCCGAGAGTCGATCAGCTGTCGCCCAAGCGCTGCTACAGTGGTTTCTCTCTGGTTCTTTTTCACGATTGGTGGAAGATTCGTGCCCTCCACAAGGTGAAGGCCCACCAGTCCCTCGATGAGTGGACCAGCCAGTTTGATAAGATGTGCCGCTTCGGGAATCACTGGGCTGATATTGGGGCTCGTCTGGCTTCTGCAGGTGAAGGCCACCTCGGGCACCCCAAGCCTTCAGAGGAAGCCCCCACTAGGATTGAAGCCGATGTCAAGTTTTCGAGTGCCGCGGCTAAGCTCGCTGCTAAGCTTCTTCCCGAATGGCCCAAGCTAGACCTAGATGGAGGTGTTTGGACTAAGCCTGTTGACCAGGCTGCCGTGTCTCCGTCTAGGACACGCTGTTCGTGGCAAGCGGTCCAGTCTAGTCAGTTCGGGTCGCGTCCAGGTGTTTGGAAGTGCTCTACATGTGGCAAGGTCAGCAGGGGGTCCACCCACGGTCCTCCTCCGCCTGCCCCTGTCTGCCACCCCATTGATGGGTTGTCTCCCAGTGTGCTGTCGGCTAGGGGACACCGGTGTGTGACGCTAGCGTGTTCCGACAATGTTTCTCTTGTTAGTTGCATGCGCTGCTGTTTCTGCTATTCATTCCATGGGCGCATCAGGTGCCTAGGCAGCGTGCGCAAAAGGCCCAACTAGGGCTACCAAGTATGGCAACTGGGGTCCTGTTAGCAAGGGCAGGCATCCCAACCGTCAGAATGTGACCGTGGAGCGCGGACCCTGGTCCGATTTTACGTTGGAGGACTCTTCTGCTGCGGAAGCACCT